AAATAATGATAATTGGAAATTGAGAAAAATTTGAGCAGTTATTGGTAGACAAGTAGAAATATAAGTATTTTCTCTATTCCAAGCTCTTCAATTATCTTAATTGAGAAGAAATTCCAAAAAATTCAAGAGAGCAGGTCAATTTTTGTACACCAGATTGCGGTTTAAGGGGAAGTCGTGGATGGTTTCCCATGATTTCCTCTGATTTCCCATAATTTTCCCTTATTTCTTCTAATTACGATTGCACACGAGTTCCCCTAACCTGAAGTTATGAAGATTTTTGAAAACTGCCTATGCGTCAGATCTATATAGAGATTGACCCGAGTTCCTTAAGATTTCCCTTGATTTCTTTATGATTTTCCCTGATTGCCTTAGATTTCCTCTTGATTTCCTCTAATTTGTATACCCAGATTTCCATTGTGGTTCACCCCTGACAGGTTTATTGACCCTTTTTCCCATGAAATTGCGTTTTATAAGGACGAGAATGGACGATTAGAAAAGGAAGATGTTACGTGGTGATCATTGATCAATCTACTCACAATTTGACGTATCGATTCAGTGTAGAATGCTTGTCTATGGAACCAGTCAAGAGGTAGAACTACGTCACAAAATAAGATCCAGAACTCCAGATTATGGAATATCATGACGTGAAAGTCAATAAGTACCCAAGAAAAAATCTAAGATTTAAAAAAAATCACTTCTCTTGGAAAAAATGGAAAGAAAAAAAGAATTGGAAATTGAGAAGAAATTGATAGAGAAGTCAAAATATTATTATTTTCTCTATTCCAGGCTCTTGAATTCTTTCAATTTAGAAAAATTTGGAGAAATTCAAGAACCGGGAATAGACAAAAATTGAAAAGAAAAATAATGATAATTGGAAATTGAGAAAACTTTAAGCAGAAATTGGTAGACAAGTAGGAATATAAGTATTTTCTCTATTCCAGATCTCAATTGAGAGAAAATTCCAAAAAAATTCAAGAGAACAGGTCAGTTTTTGTACACCAGATTGCGATTTAAGGTGAAATCATGGATGATTTCGCATGATTTCCTGTGATGTCTCACAATTTCCCCTTATTTCTTCTGATTATTATCAGTAAGATTGCACAAGAGTTCCCCTGTCCTGAAATTATAGAGATTTTTTGAAAACAAGTTCCCTAAGATTTCCCTTGATTTCCTCATGATTTTTCCTGATTTCCTTAGATTTCCTCCAATTTCCTCCAATTTCCTCTTGATTTCCCCTAATTTGTATGCCAGATGTCCGTTGTGGTTCACCCCTGACGGGTTTATTGACCCTTTTTCCCCTGAAATTTGTGACGGGCCAAAATTGCATAAACATTTCTTACCTACTTTCAATTTTATATTCAAGATTTCCTTAAGTTTTTCAACATTTTCTCTCTAATTAATTCATCTGTCAAAAGTATGTCGTGTTCCGTAATCGTGATGTACCGTTTTCAGGTGGATGTACCGAGCTACTCCGTTCGTACTAACTGTTCCGGTTGTGGAGCGCTATCGATCTCGGCGCAAATTCGAGCGAACCCAGAGTCGCGCATTGTTTCGTTGATCTTTGAGAAACTTGAACGCACCCTTTGATTTCTTTTCTTTGACTTTTGATTGTCAAAAATTTCTGTCAACCAGCGGTGGATTAGTGATGTTTTCAGTATCGTCGATTCTTCCTTGAGCTCTCTAATTTTGAAAACGGAACACTTACTATATTTTGTATTCTTCAAGTTTTGATTGTTTATTGGTTGTTGATATCATTATTCATCAGCCGTTGTTATTTTTCTCAGTTTATATTGTTGTGTGCAATTTTTGGTAAGTGGGAATTCTGTCGATTGGTTGTTGTTGTTTGTCGTTGCTCTCGATCATCTCTAAGTCTGAATTCCTTCCTTTGGGTTAGGTTAGTTTATTAATTGAATGTGGAGCACATTTTCTTTCACATCTGGACGTTGGAGAATTAGGGTCTTTATGAAGATTGTCTTCGCCTTTGTGGGATTTCGACCCTAAATTCTCATTTGAAGTTATAACATTTTAGTTGCCTTTCTGCCTTACGTTTTCGTAGTGTTATAATTTTCGCCGATTTATTCGGATTTTTACAACTCCAATGTGTTGAAAGCTGCCCTAAGGAGTAGAGAATTCTCACTCTCTCTAGGAAATCCAATCCTCGATCCAGATTTCCAGAGATTTTCGAGGCAGACAAACCCTAATCCCATCAGGGTCCTTTCACGAGGGTTTCCCTTCACAAGGGTTTCCTTTCACGAGGGTTTCCTTTCACGAGGGTTTCCTTTCACGAGGGTTTTCTTTCACGAGGGTTTTCTTTCACGAGGGTTGTTCTTTCACGAGGTTTTTCTTAGGAGGTTGTACTTTACCATCAAGTATACCCTCACGGTTATAACAATAGACGTTCAATTGTAACCGAAATTGAACCAAAAGGCTAACAGACACCAGCCTAAGTAATCGGACGGTTGCTCAAGTCATCGATCAAGTTAACCACAACCAGTAGCCAGGACTAATCTGGTGAATTGAATGAACCACCATCATCTGGAACATTTTGGTATCGTACTAGTTTTAGTTATCCTGATTGTTATTGTTTGTTTACATTCTGTCCCTATTTGTACACCCGGTGATCACCTCGGTATTTCAGGGAATAATTCATTGCTGGCCCCAGTGTGGTAAATGAATTATTAAAATAGGTAACTTAACTAGACGTAACCTGTTGAATTAATGTCAACTTACTGGTAGTTCTGGTTACGTAAGTGTAAAATAACCGCTCCAACTTATTAGTCATTAATTTATTGTTTTTTTTTGTTTTATTTTTCTCTTCAATTTATATTTGCAACTTTTCTATTTATACCTTTTTTTTTTTTTTTATTATTCATTTGGGTTATTGAGTTTCAATAACATATTTTTGCATTTAAATTTAATTGTTCATGACTATAGCAATTATTTAAAAAGTATTGCATTTCTGTATTTGTTAGTTAACGCTTCTTGACAAGGTCATTTTATTAATTGCTAATTTACTTGATTCTTATTATTTCTTTTTTTTTTTCCTCTTGAATTCAAATTATTGTTCATTGTGGACTGCGGCCATTTGATAAATAAACGACTGTAGCACTTGATTTGAATTGACTTTTATTTGGTTTTATGCACACAGCCTGGTTTTTGCTAATATTTTTATTTTTATTAATTATTATTTGGATTGTAAGGACCTGAAGCCAGATACCATCCTGGAGAGTCCGACTCATCTGTTCAGAGTCGGTGGCGCCCAAAACTAAAACCCACCCCTACTCTCCGAATTATTTAGTTCTGAGCTAGGGCTTAATTTGCACGCACTTCGACCTTCAGTCCTACAATCTCAAGTTCCTTATTCATTTATTTTTATTTTTATTCTTCTTTTAATTTTTATTATTTTTATTTTATTTTTTTTTATTTTTTTTTATTTTCGACTTTAATTTTTTTTTTTTAATTTATTTTTCTAAATTTTTTTTTTTTTTTTTAAACTTTTCTTAATCAGCGAAAAAGCGTGGCAAATTGCGTTTTACAAGGACAAGAATAGACAATTAGAAGAGCAAGATGTTACGTGGTGATCATTGATCAATCTGATCATGACGTGGAAGTCCCAAGTAAGTACCCAAGACAAGATCTAAGATTTCAAAAAATCAGTTCTCTTGAAAAGATGGAAAGAAGAAAAGAATTGGAAATTTAGACGAAACTGGTAGACAAGTAGGAATATAAGTATTTTCTCTATTCCGCAGGCTTTTCAATTATTTCAGTTTAGAGAAAATTTCAAAAAATTCTAGAGAGCAGGTCAGTTTTTGTACGTACACCAAATTGCGATTTTAGGGGAAATCATGGATTATTTCTCACGATTTCCTCTGATTTTTCATGATTTATTTTGATAACCAGTAACTTTCCCTAACCTCAAATTATAGAGATTTTTGAAAACTAGGTATGCGTTAGATCTAGAGATTGACTGATTTCCTTGAGATTTCTTTAAGATTTCCTTCGAGTTCCTTAAGATTTCCCTTCATTTGCTCATGATTTTTCCTGATTGCTTTAGAATTTTTCGGATTCCTTTTGATTTCCTGGTTCACAAACGGATCTCTGATGGGGGTAATGGGATAGACATGTGGCGAGAATCAGTATTGCATTGGGTCAACTATACAGATTGAGATCTACGAGTACAGATGTGTGTCATGCTCAGGGAGAATCTCCAGAGAGATAGAAGAGGCATAGGTGGCAAATGTAGAACTTCAGGACATTGCAGATAATTTAGACTTAAAATGGTATACTATGAATCTAAGGAGAAAAAGGCAATACATAATATGAGAATGGCGAGAATTTTGACGAATAAAAATAGGATATGCAAGGGGAGATATTTTGCCTTTCAATTACAAAAGGGAATTCTCCGCAATGGGTTATAGAATCTGAGCTGTTAAATTGGTTTGTTCCTTACCCTATAAACCTGTCAATACTTGGCGTAGTGAGACTTTGACGTTGAATTGTTGCGTTGGTCAGTAGGAACACAAGAAAAAATTAAATTATCCCTATAAAAATGCTATGAAATACGACCAAAATCTGGAATAACCCAAACGCCCAAACCTTATTTTATTAATAAATTCTTCCTTTATGATGGTTGAATTTATGTTTAGGCGTTTGAATTTTGAAAAATATTTACGACGCATTGATTGATTGCAACCAATTTGTATTTTTCAAACGTCAATCAGCGCGTTTTATTTAGTTTTCCCGAAAATATTACATTTCACAGACTCCAATGTTATTTTTGTCTTGCAAATTGAATAGTTGAAAAAACTTCCATTATATTTTAGATAAACTGTTTCGGAATTATTGACACCACACTAAAAACCCATCGTATTGGAAATAATAATTCCAGTGAGGTGATTAATATTTCAATAACAATGAAACGCGAAATATATCAAACTAAACAGCTTGAAATTTATTTTATTTAATTTGTTATTGAGTTTAAATATTTGGTTTTTACTCACCGATTTCATCTATAATAGGAGCCATCCTCAAGGTAATACCGACTAACAACAGGCACATGAAAAACAACAGGCAGGCAGTAGCTACGATTGTCCATTTTGCTCTAGGAGGTAATTCGTCGTCGTTGAGGGATTTGAATTCACTTTCGTGCACTAGAGTATCTACGAGGTGAGGATTTAGAGCCAAACTATACAGAAAAAAAAAACACAAAACATTTTTTTCCCATGAATTTTCAACAAATTACCGTTTCTTTAGCCTTCGTTTTCTTCTTCTGCGTCGTTTTCTTCTTGCTCTTCTCAATTCCTCTTGTGCGATAATAGCGTCAGTTTCAATATCACCATAACCGTCCATTTTTATTGAAATGTAATCATCTGTTGCCTGCATCGACCTAAATAAAACGACTAAAATTTTATGTGTGCTTTCAACTGAATATCAACCCAGCTTTACAAGTGCTTTTCTGTTAAAGCGCTGCAAACTTTTTGAGGATTTATAAAAACCTGTTTGCATAGTAAATGCATTTTATACAAAAAATATAGGATTCTTTTTTAATTACAGAGATTACTTACACAGGTCCTTGATTACAATAACAAACATGAGATGGACACGTGGTTTCTATGCAAGAAGAACTTCTATATTGATGACCAGTTGGGCATTGAAGAATTTGACTATCTGGTGAAGAAGTTTCTTGACGTAACACTATAAATATAAATGCAATCAACAGTAAACAGTTTTCCAAATTCTTACTTTGTCTTTTGAACTGCCTACTCTCCAACACCACTTTGTGCCCGTGATTTTTATCTTTACGGACTTTTCTTTTCGGATCTGTTTTTTTCTCGTTTTCTACAGTTACAACAGTTGGTTGGCATTTTAGTTTTTGCAAAAAACTTTTAGGACTCGAATGCAGGCTCGAAGTCTTTCCATTTTCGAGTTTTAACGATTCGACTTTGTTTTCTACTAGGGTATTGAGGATAGCTTCCAGACGTAGGACGCCCAAAGCAGGAGGAACTGCGAAAACAAAATTGAAGTTTTTCTAAGGGGCATTATGCAAGGAAATTTAATTTTCATCAAAGTTTTTCAGGGACAAAAATTAAAAACTTTGGTACATATTATATGGTTTACATCAATGTAATATAAATTTTACATCTACTTGAGCATGACATGCGTTACTAGAAAAATACTACATGAAAAATTTGCATTTTTATTTTTTATTAGTTCCATATCTTTGTTTTGTATTATATTCGCATTATTTTAAACTTATAATCTGAAGCAAATGAATATTTAATATACGTATACTACTTTTATCTTTTTTGGATAAAGCAAGTGTTGAATATTTTAAACTCTCATACAAAGTTCATTTTAAAAAGAAACACTCGCATGCAGCGACAAAATTTAATATAAAAGGTAACAAAAATAAATAAAATAAAAGAGTTACTTTACTTCATATACAGCATCTGGATTTTCCTAATACTTAGAAGCAGCAGTTGTAGCTGCAGCAACAAAAGAAAATTTAATAATAAAGCCCCCAACAGGGAACAATGGACTTCATATATTACATTTATTAAATTTGTTGTTGATTTAGAACCTTTATATTGTTTTCAGTTGAAAGGGAAGATTATAGATTAGTTAAACGGTTTAATTTGTTTCATATTAAGAGAACCTATTAGCTTAATCGTATACGTGCCTAGGATGGAAATTTTCGGGTAACGCTTTGACACGTTTTGCAGGTGAATTTTAGATAATGGGAATATTTGAATTGCCAGATGAATTTAATCGTTTTATAGTAAATTAAGGAGAAAAGCTAAAAGCTCAAATAGCAAGAGCTATATTGAATTCAAAAATTAATTTAGGTGCTGTGTACCTATAGTGTAATACCTCGAAGCTATGATGTGTAAATAATTTATTTCATCACCGGCGTGGATCATAATTACACTATGTGCACAGCAATGAGCATTAAATGTAATTTACATCCATTTAATATTTGATGCTGGGCTTTTTGGTGCTTCCCATAATGGATTTTCATTGAATTGGGCAATTTGGGGAATATGAATGATTTACAGGAATATATGTATAAGTTTAGACAAAACCAGCTTCAACCGATATAAAAGCGAAATCAGAAAAGCGAAAGTTTCTTTTTACAAATCCAAATCATAAAGCTACCTTGGTGGTACTAAATAGTTGGGAATCTGACGCCTCCTAGGAAGCCTTTTAAAGATGCTCTATACAAGTCGCGAACATCCACCTAAAAATTATGAAATCCTATGTCAAATGACCTGCCGGATTCGAATTTCTTGTTCGCCCTTTGATCCGGAATTGCGAAATGTGTCAAAACATGACATTTTTGACAAAACTGAAAATTTCCATTGAAATAATTTTTTTTGAAAACTAGTGCATAACTTTGTTAATTGATGTCCGATTGTTATGAATTTTGGATATGATATTTTTTAGTACTTCCCTGATATAGTTTCATAACAATTGAAAACATAGAACGTCACATAAAAGCTACGTAATTTTTTTTTCGCCAGATGACACAAAATATCGTTATTTTGCAGCGTTAAATGGTGAGTCGAGAAAACTTTTTTATCTTTAGAGATAGATACCTAGTATAAGCGAGAAAAATGTTGCCAATAGAGTAAAGAAACTTTTTTACTAAAACTTTTTTTCCATACGACGTTTAGTTTGAGGTGTATTCTTTTTTAAAAACCGAAGAAAATTGAATCGCCGCGTCTCAACTCTCGGCATTGCCGGTGAGCGCGGTCTCAGGACGCGGTGTAGCGGATAAAGCGATCAGTGTGTCAAAGAGAGTTAACACCACAGCCTTCTTCATTAGTGCAAGAAAGATAACGCGACGACACCAACGGCAGAAGCGTTCCTTTTGAATTTCATTTTGTTTTTCTCCCGCTTATGTTTGTTATTGTAAAAGACATGAAGTACCTACCTATCATAAGTCAATCAAGTAATTAGGAAACGGTACAGAGTGTCACAAAAGAAGCCGTACCTACATTTCCTGTTTATTCCATAGCTTTTACGGCCAATTTCATAATCAACTTAAAGTAAACTTTCCTGAATTTGAAGTTGAAAAATCCTATCCTAAAAGTCTATTTAGCTAAAGTAACTTTTAATTCTCTATTATGAAATTGGCCGTTAGATACTATGCTAAAAGAGAACTGTTTTTATCATTAAATCCTGTTTATCACCCTAAATTCTAAATGTATACGAGCTTATACCAGGAAAGCCTACAAGAAAAGACCTGAACCAGAAGAAGGTGCTTCAAAATGTACTAGTAAGCGAATTAAATCCTCTGATTCAAAGATTTGCATAATATGCAATAAAATTCGGGATAGTAGGGGTTTGAGAAGACTCAAGCAAATACTGACATTTGATAAGCAAAATGAAATATGGAACATGGCAAAAACAACCATCAACTTTTGCATTGAATTCAAGGATTTGGTAATAATTGTATTTACATGATTGCTCACGAATGTGCATATCAATCGTATCATAGTCGGTGTTTCTTAAAACTATTCCAAAAATCAAAATCAGAAGTAAATTCCCTACAAGAATCTGAAGTACTTTCGTTTGGAACTATTTTTATTAAAATTCAATCTTAAATAGAAAATGCCCTATTTATAGAAAATAGGGTTTTCACAATAGAAATCATCCTACATAGGGAAGCAAGGAAGCAAAGTTATGGAACGTTGAGTGAACTGCACAATATCCATCGTCAGAAGAGATTATCAATAACCTGCAAAGTCTTTTTAAGAAAACAATTATGGTTGTTCTCCGAGATGGAAAACTTTCAAGTTATCTTTGCTCTACTAAAGTAATTATCAATAAATAAGACGCTGTAAGGAATTCAAGTTCTTCAAATTCTGACGCTGATGCCACATTTTTCAATGAAGGCCATTCTCCTTATAAGCTACAATCAAATGTTTAATATTTAAGGGCGGATTATTGCAAATTGTGTGCAGCAAGACACTTTGACAATTACTGAAGAATGTGCATCCTAATGTCATACCAAAGTTATTATACAACCTTTTTCGTGGATACTTACTGAGAAACTAGTGAAAAAGAAGTAAATTTTGACAAAGATTGAAAAGTTCTGTTGGAAGAGAAGCTTGAAGAAAAGGTTTTGGATATTTGTCAAGATTTATTATTTGTATTAATTGGAATGAAAACACCAAAACATGTGGAATTAGCCGTTTACTACAAAATTTTAAATTGAGCCTGATGCTTTGTTTTAAATAAGAAATCTTGTTGCTATTCTTTTTTTACTGACATTAATTGCATTCCCTAGAAATATATTCCATATTTGGAAATAATTAATTAATAAATAAATGGAATCTTTATACCTTTGATATGACGTTTTTTTTTTTTCCTTTTTTGCCAGTGTTTGAGAGAAAATGCATTGTGAAATAAATATTTTGATAATAAATATAATGATAATATTGTTTCCCAATCCAACCAAACCCATAAATCCCCCATTCCCCTATACTCCCTACAGTCCCTACAATATTATAACAATATCGTAATGCGTGTCTTTGTTGCATGTATGAAGAAAGCTGTGGTGTTAACTCTCTCTGACACACTGATTCGCTGCACCGCGTCCTAAGATCGCGCTCACCGGCAATGCCGAGAGTTGAGACGCGGCAATTCAATTTTCTTCGGTATTTAAAAAAGAATACAGCCCAAACTAAACGTCGTATGGAAAATAAGTTTTAGTAAAAAAGTTTCTTTACTCCATTGGCAACATTTTTCTCGCTTATACTTGGTATCTATCTCTAAAGATAAAAAAGTTTTCTCGACTCACCATTTAACGCTGCAAAATGACGATATTTTGTGTCATCTGGCGAAAAAAAAATTACGTAGCTTTTATGTGACGCTCTATGTTTTTTATTGTTATGAAACTATGTCAGGGAAGTACTGAAAAATATCATATCCAAAATTCATAACAATCGGACATCAATTAACAAAGCTATGCACTAGTTTTCAAAAAAAAAATATTTCAATGGAAATTTTCAGTTTTTTCAAAAATGTCATGTTTTGACACATTTCGCAATTCCGGATCAAATGGCGAACAAGAAATTCGAATCCGGCAGGTCATTTTACATAGGATTTCATGTTTTTTAGGTGGATGTTCGCGACTTGTATAGAGGTGGTCGAATTCAGCACCTCAGATTCCCGACTAAAAAGGATGATTAAAAAAAAAAAATATGTCGAGATTTTGTGTCCAAGTGCTTATGGGGGATCTCTCAAACTCCATACAATAAATTACTCTGAGATTTGTAGCCGAAATCTATGAGAAAAGGCACTTAGAAAATTGAAAAATTGATAAATTTACCCCAAATTGCGTCACGCGATTTTATTTCTGGAACTATAAGTCCATATGAGCCGAAATTTCCAGGGATTGTAGTTCTCTACCGGATTAAGAATCGCTATATATTTCAGCTTTCTATCTATAATAGAAAATAGAAAAAAGTTATGGGTCTTCAAAGTTTTAAAAATCCAAATCATAAGTAGGTAGGTAAGTGTACTAAAATGATGAAATTTCATATTTTTCTATATTGATATTTTGTGTCTAAATGATCAACCCCCAAACTCCATACACTAAATTATTCTGAGATTTGAAGCCGAAATCTATGAAAAAGGGCACTCAGAAAATTGAAAAATTGATAAATTCACTTCAAATTGCTTAACGCGATTTTATTTCTGGAACCATAAGTCTGTAATGACCCGGGAAAATAGAGCCGTAATTTACAATGTCTTTACTGTAAAAATTAAATGCAATCAAAAACTGAATTCCCTGTATTTCAAATCAGTATCTATAAATTGAAAGATGATGAAACAAATTAGTATTGACCCAAATTAATTAAAATATTTATATCGGTACGTTCAAATTTTAAGCAAGCCATCAGTGACCAAGCACGTGTCATCATTTGAACTTGTAAATAAGAACCCGGAAAAGATCAATTACAAAGTTAAGCACCTGATTAAATTGTACCCAAAATGACAAAAATTTCGAACAGATTGCATCATCCTCTAAATATTGAAATTAATTTTTGAAATAATATCTAGGTCGACCAATAGAATTGAAATATAGATGGTCAAACGACCGTCTATTGTCGATTTTGGTAGGTGATTAATAATATTTTGGGGGGAATCGAAAAATATAAATACAGGGATTTTAGAAGAAGCAGTTTTAAGTTCAGTCCAGTTTTGAGTTTTAAGTGTACAGTACCTAATGAGTCAGTCCGGATAAAATTCGCGGAGAGTTTCTTTTATTTTTGCCTAGGGAAAACGCGTGGTCTTTGAAAAAGTGAAAATTGTGAAAGAAAGAACATTTAGTTATTCAACATTATGTGCGAGCTCTAGAGATTTTTGAAGTAAATTAATTAAGTAATTTTATCGGGTGACAATTTAAATGTAAGAACTCTAGTGACTAGTAAAACTTTTTGACTTTATAAATGATGATTGACTATGAAGTGAATTACCTTTGGAACTCTATTGCATAAATATTAACAACTCGAGTGTTTTGACTATGGAACATTATTGCATAAATTTAAATGCTTTGAGTGATAATGACATTTTAATTAATTTTGCAAAGAATTAACACCGGATGGGGTGATACTAGTTATGCTATAAAAATCCCTGGAAAGCATTCCAGAACCAAAGCCAAAAAATATTTGCTGATTGCTTAACACTAGGGTATACACCCGCAAAATGGACTGCACTCAGGGCCAAATTTATAGTCGTTCCTTGGGTCTTCCTTGAAGGTCGTGAGCTTAGAATGGACACTTGCTACCATTTGACATGTTTGTCATGTCAATTCTAAACTTTCAAGGCCCCCTTAAGGTCTGAGGAAACCTCAAGGAGCGACTATAAATTCGGCCCTCAATAATGTAATGATTGAGTGCATTGAAAAATCCAATGGATAATAAAAATGCTTAAAAGTAGAATCATTAATTCAGAAATTGGTGAAAATACCATAAGGAAAAGAACAACCAGAGGGACTCTACAAGGAGGAGTGATATCTCCACTCTTGGGCCTGTTGGTAATTAATATAATCCTAAAAGCCTTTAGAGAAAACCTACAAAGATCAAAGAAAGAACTATGACTGTGCAAGTAGCAAAATAATCTTCAAGTAAAGTTGCTATAGAAAAAATATTATTCAATAACGGAAGAAAAAAAAGCTTGCTAGAATTAGAATCTATTGAGAATTATGTTAATGTGAAAAATTACTATTCCCTATTTTCAAATTGTTTAAAATTAATATTAATGTAATTACTCACCCTCTTTAGAACATAGATCTTCAGTAGACACAGCCTTATCGATAACAGGCATGATGTTTGAAAAACCTGCAAATCAAATTGAAAAATATTATATTTGCTACAAGTTTAGTTTAGCCTTGGTCCTTTTTCTTCCAATAAATTCCCTTTTCCATCAGCCTTTTTACGTCACTTTTATTGTCGCTGTGGATCAAATCAAAGGAAAAACCCTACCGTCTCATCTCTTTAATAAGGTCAGAGCGTGACCCAGTTTTATGATCTATTTTAGTGGCCCTTCGCTGCCACAGCCGGCCCATAACCCATTTTCCGTAAACGGAAGCCAGCTGCAGTGGGAAATTGATGTCTCGTTTTAAATGGATTTTAAAAAAAAATTGCTAGACGAGGTTTTACTGATGATTGATGGGGTTGAAGTAGTTGTAATTTGATTGATGGATGCACTTTATTAGAACTAATATTTTTGGATAACGTTTCATGTTTCGCTTATGATCAGATTATCAAAATGAATGAATAAAAATGTCAGCATTCTTTTTCTACCTTTTGGATTCTCATCATCATCGAACTCTAGTTGCTTCTTAATCTGTGTCCAGATGAGTATAAGAGTCTTTCTGTCTCGCAACACTGGGAACCTCATTTTAGATAAGTGACTCTTGATGATACAACCTCCAATCTGGTTCTTGTTCTATAGAACACCTTTTTTCGACGGAGTGTTCTACCTGTTCCATAGCCCTTTGAGTCTTGAATAGTTTATCGACATTGTTCTTGAAATTCCCAAGTTTTACAACTACTATAAGTCATACATTAAAGGTTTGTCAATGCTCTCATTACACAGTAAAAAAAATCCCGTGTATAATTACACGACAAAGTGGTAAACGCGTTGAGCGTATAAAAACTATACACCATTATTTGTAAAGTGCCGTTCAGTTAACCAACAGTAATTTGGTAAACTGATATTTTACACAATACAGTGTTGAATTAAAGGTATGTATCTATACTGGTTTCGTGTTACTCTACATAACAATGTGTAATTTTTTACACTACTCTCATTCTTTATCACCTATGATAAACCCATTAAATTAAGCTAAAATAATTAAGGATAAAACATTAAAATTAAAAAGCGACTTTTCGAAAAATCATACATTAACACGATTCCGTGTATTCTATTTAACACTGTTTTGTGTATATTTAACATAACTTAGTGTAAAAGTTACATGAAATGGTGTTGAGGAAAGCCACCTATTTAAAATATTATTTCTTCAAATCTTAACTTTTTAATAAAACGTTTACTGAATAAATGTTGCAACCATGTATGCGCCGTCAAGTTTATAGGAACAGAACGCGCCGCAAAGCGTACTGAAAGGGTAGGTACCGAACGGGAGATAGAGAATACGCAACTAGACTAGAGAACAAGCTGGGCTGGTCCCTTAGACGCGTGTCTGTAATTGTTCATTATTCAATTTTTATTTTTATTTTGCATTTAACTGATTGTTCAATCCAATTTGTTATTAGTGTGTTTGTCAAGGAGCGGTCACAGGTCAGTTGAATAATTGCTATTTTGTTTTTAAGAGTTCAATTATTTAGGTATACAAGTGTCATTTTTTTCATTTTTATGTTTTTTTGTTTGTTTATAACATTTTCTATAACATGTGCATTGTTCATGTACTTAAAATTGAAACCTAGAAGAAATTATGTGCTGGCTTTTGTGCTAGGATTTTGATTTTTGGATTAAGAGCGTGCATTAGGGCCTTGTTGAATTTACTAACATTTTCCTACCCTGACGAGAGAATATCCTATAGCAAATTGAAATAATCAATCTAGAGATATTGGCTCAAAAACAACTATAGCTGAGTAGCTTCCCGTATGGGACCTCAGTACCTGCTGGGAAACTGGCTTACTAACCAAAAAACCCTTTAGTATCGAATATAGGTAGTGTTGATTGAATGTAGTGTGTGTAATTGAAATTTTAGCACAAGAACAGGGGCGGTACCTAATTTAAACTTTTATTGACTTAAATTATTGAATTAATGACTCGCAATTATTATTAAAATGACACGAGGAAGGTTAGATCGAGGGTTTTTCTGCCGTGCTCTTTCCCCTCGTTAGTTTCAGGATGAGAACGGTACGATTTACTCAATAATAAAGTAGACGTTTCACAAATTTTTCGTTTCTTTTACATATCAAAACTTCCCTCAAATTTCCCTAATATTTGCTATGTCATACGCATGTTCAGTAAGTAAAATTGAGTAAGTTTCCACAACGTAGGTCCTATTTGTTTCTCATTTCATTTTTCAGAAGATTTGTTGTTAGGGTAATAAATATCTCATCGTTCAATCTTGCTGAGCGAACCCGGGGTATATTATACTATACAGTGTATTATGTTTAACATCGTTTTATGTAAATTGATCACGCAAATTCTCGTCAAATTTACCAAAAACCTTGGTGCGAAATGTACCCAAACTGGTGTGGTCTTATATGGACCACTTTTCGTGTAAAATTTCGCATGATTTTTTCAACTGTATAGTGGTTCGATCAACTTGGAATTTTTAGTGTTTTACTTCAAACCTTCAATAATAGATCCTCAAATTTTTTGCACCCCCAGAAGTTTTTGAGCTAAAAATTCTAAAATAGTGGCTTAAAAATATCCTGCATTTTTGCGTCCTGGTAGTTCTCGAGATAGCATTACGAGTGCCGGGAATAGAATTTCAATGTTCTTCATTCTAAATTTGAGCTCTAGTAGAACCGAGAATGAGATTTCCACAATTTCTTGAATGAATTTTAGCTCAAAATGTAATTTTTTTGATCTTTTCTGTGTTCTAACTTTGACTCATTCCCGATGTCGATAAAATGGAAACCAATTTCAAAAACTACCGGGGGCGCAGTTGTTTGAAATAAATATGTTTTTTATGAACATCTTGTATATTTGGGATAGTGGAAGTAGTGGCGATAGTTTCTATTATGTCAATTCAATAGTCTCTCACTATACGTCATTATTCATTAGTTAACCTAACTGATATTGCTTTTCATCCCTAGTGTTTCAAAACCTCTGTCGTAATTTTATCTGAACCTTCCACCTGTTTTAATCCTTGACCGATCACTTTTTTCATCTTCTTCTCTGGTAATGATGGGTGCATTAGTTTTGCTTTGTCCTACACGACTTTTCTTTCTATGCTTAGAATCCAATGGCTTATTTTTGTCTTATAATATGATGCTTTTTACATAGATATCTCTGTACCTTCTTGAGAGAAATAATAAGCCTTTGCTATTCAATTCTTTTGCGAATCCTAAACTGAACTGTTTTAAGCTGTCCTCATTTTTCTGGATTTGCTACCTCCTCCACTTTTTCAAAAGGTTTCTAGTATTTCCTTTGTCTCACTCATTCCACTTTGAGGATTATAAGTCTTCCTGATCTTTGCGTTTTTTTATTTTTCTGAACTCAAACTTGACAATGATATTTTTCTCTCGGAAAGTTTTCCAGTGCGACATTTAACGAAAAAGGAAATATTTTTTCAAGAAAAAAAGCTCTGTGTGAAACTTTTCTAAAAAACATCCGTCTACCTTTACGTAAATGAAAAGTGCAACATGTAATGATTTATTAATGACAACGAAATACATCATATACCACTTTAATTTGACCCATATCGTAGATTAGTTAGTTTGAAACAATCAATATAAAATGTGTAATGCAATACATTTGAGAAAGAGTAAAACATTGGAAATTTGTATAGAAAATAAATTCACCCCTTAACAGATACAACTACAGGGTCGCTCATAAACTACTACTTTTCAATATTCACAACAATTACATAACATTGCTAAAAAACCAAACAAGCAATTATTTTATCAGGAATTGAGTTGAGGATGATTGAGTACCTACTAATTTAGTTAAATCTTCAATAAATAAGATTATTATTCATGTATACCTGAGATAAATATATTAATTTAAATTTACTTCAATTTTTTGCCTTACGCATAATGAAAATAAATTTACACCCAAAAAAAAAATCCATAAACCATACTTGATGCACTTCAAAACAACAGGTAGGTAACGTATCAAAATATTTACCTTATTCAATAATCCTGAATGAAACCCATAATTATTTCGGACACGATGGTCCGATAAGTACCGTAAAAATTACAAAACAATATCAAAATATAAAAATTGTTTCAAAAAATAACAGATTTTTTGAATTTTTTTCGATTCTGTTATGGGCCAGAACACCCCAAAAGGCTGTGGACACGCGACTCGCATGGAATCCTGGCAAAATTTCCAGGATAAGATGCTGTGCAGGGGTTGACGACACTGCCGCTTCGATCGTGAGGGCGCCAGTCGCTTTTATACTGTAAAGGGCTATTAAGGGTCCTATACTCAGCTATTTGCATTAGTTTTTCAAAACTGAAAATAAATAAATTATGGCAGGAGTCCCACTTATCCTAAAAGGGATAAATACTGGAAATTCTTCAAGCCATATAACAATAAATTTTATTCTTCTTTTCAAATTGCATCAAGAATCTTTAATCCTAAATTGATTTAAATAACAAATGTAGACTCCTTAAGACATTTATCTTTTGTTATATATAAAACTTTCCAATAAACAAAAGAGGCCGAATAAGAGACAGTAGAAAGTAGGAGAGATAAAAATACATTTATGTCTCCTTTATTATACGAAAACAACGGGAAAAACACAGACGTTTAATGATTTTTGTGTTGAATAATGAATGATTAGACAATAAAAACAAGGCCTGATTAATTTTTGCTTATGTTTTTGTACTTACCCTGTTGTCCACCAAAACAAGTTTGCCGAAAACTTAATCGAAATACATTGAAGCAAATTGAATCATATTCTGATTTGTAGTTTGTGCTCATATGAAAATTCAATTACTCGTTTACAATATCTGCTTTTGTAACATAAAAATAGAAAATTGCGTTATTTTACGATTGTGCCGGAATAATGGGTGGTACATAGTTTACTTTTACGCATTCAATAATTTTTGGTTGTTGGATTTATAGGATATTGACCTGATTTTTTTTTCTAGTTTTTGTTTTGGACTATCATGGTATGACTTGTGGTGATCTTAAGAAGATTGTAAATAATTTTTTCTATTATTTTCGCAATACCAGTAGAGGGCTCTTGGATGAACCCTTCTCGGGGCGGAAACTAAATCTCACATTCATGAGGTTTGAAAGTCAGCAGTAACTTTCATTGAGAATTCTTTAAGTACTTCGAGTATTAACTAAATAATATGGAAACAGAAAAACTGGGACGCTACCACTCAACAGGAACCTAGAGCTGGTCAGGCACTGCCAGACCCAAGATCTGGAGCTGGTGATTGGATGTGACTCCAACTCGCACCACATCAACTGAGGAAGTCTGGACATAAATCCAAGAGGTAAGTCTCTGTGTGACTTTATAATAGGTAATGATCTGTTTATATGCAATAACGGCACGATACCAACCTTCTTAAACTCTCGTAATCAAACTGTAATAGATATAACACTATGCTCAGTATTAATATCAAATTCAATCCATAATTGGCGCGTATCTGATAAAGTTTCAATGTCGGATTACCGATGGATAACTTTCACATTTAACTGCTCACCTAAAACCACAAGACCTTATCGTAACCTAAGAAAAACCAATATTGAATAGTACGTGCAAAGTCTGGAAAGGACTCTACGAGAGGTTGCAGTTAAAACACCCAATGATGACCAAGAATTGGAGCGGTATGCCAATACCATCCAAGGTGCCATCATAAAATCCTATAAGATGTCGAGCCCACTGAGGATGTTCAAAAACTCTGGTAACACCTCTGCTTGGTGGTGTCAGGAACTTGAACACCTCAAGGCGACGACAAGAAAGCTAAAAACACCAAACTACCTGAGGTTTGGAACCAACTCAACCAGTATGAAAAAGTCTTATAACAGAAACAAAGAAATGTCTGGAGGACATACTGCAACGAAATAAAAAACTATACGGAAGCGACGAGACTTCAGAAAGCTCTTAATAAAGACCTATTTCGGGAAATTGGTATCCTGTGCAAGGAGGATGGCATCATCACTGCCAACCTTGAAGAAAGCACAGACTTACTACTAGCAACCCACTTTTCTGACTCCACAAACACAATTGTGGAGAATCAGATGCAGTTAACATACATACGCTCTGTAGCTGAATCAGATAATATATATCCTGTTCACAATCCGAAGTCCACAGGTGCAGGTAAATTTATTACCTTTCCCTATCAAATAGCATTGAAAGGTGATAAATTTTACCTGTACCTGTGGACATCGGATTGTGAACGGATAATACGAGGAAAAAATAGGTTGGGCAATTTTATGCTTCTCTGCCTTTAAAGCACCAGGATCTGACGCCATCTATACAGTCCTACTTCAGAGGGGTCTGAAACCACTTTAGCCGCACCTGGTAGGGGTGTTCAGGGCGTCCTTGGCCCTAAGATACATACCCAAGGCTTGGAGAGAAGTTAAAGTGGTGATCCTATCCAAACCTGGAAGGATGAACTACACCACCCCCAAGGCATGTCGCCCCATAAGCCTCTCATAATTTTCTCTAAAAACAATGGAGAGGCTATGCAAAAGGCACATTAGGGATGAAGTGTTGTCAACCAATTCACTCCACCCTAATCAACATGCATATACCCCCGGGAGATCAACGGACACAGCCCTCCACCTGGTTGCTGGGTGAATGGAAAAATCGCTGGACAACAGAGAGTCCGTCCTCGGGGTTTTCATCAACTTTGAGGGGGCCTTTGACAGAACCACCTTTCAAAAAATTAGCCACTCACTAACAGAAAAGAATACTCCGAAAACTGTTACTGGATGGATATTCAATATGCTTTCCAAAAGAATTGTGGGACCCCAAATTCAGAATCTGGCAATTGGCGAGCGGTGACTTTAGTTTCTGAGTGGAGACACAGTTTAAAGTGGGTCCTATTTGCGGGTGAAGAGTAAAACCACAGTTTGTAAAACACAGAAATATTGTGGTCAATTAAAATAAAGTTTATTTTATTAAAATAAGTAATGCTTGTTATTAAATAACAGGCGTCGGTAAAAAGTAATCTTACAATAAAATTATTCAATCTCTAGTAAGCATCAATTAACTGTTAAGGAAAATTTATATGATTCCAAGTAAAATTTAAATTTACAGTTTGACTCGACTCACACTCTTGCCTTCATAATTTCTGGCTGAACATAAAAAAACTCACTTTTAACAATAATATATTTATTACTGGCTACACCTAATTACATGGAAAACTTATTGATCGAAGCAATTTACTTTAATTATGAACAATTAATAAAAAACCCGAATATTTTCGCGCTGTTATTTCACGTCGTGCTTCTTCTCGCGGTTAATTCGATAACTCCTTCACGCCGTAGTTCTGACTTTCTGGACACAGGTCTCTCGATTCTCGATTACTACTTGTTTCTTGATTACTCAACCGATACTGGTCTTTCACGCCGTAGTTCTGCCCGTTTACTCGCTCTTTCTCGAACACTGATTTTCTCCTGCCAATGTTGCCTTTTTATATCATTGGTCCCTCCATTGTCTTGAATTTTTTTATTTTTTCTGACCTCGATTTTTCGTGGTTGAATCATCCGATCAAGTATTTGGTCCCTTTTTAATTAATTATCAAGGGCGTCGCTAAGTGGTTTGTTAAGTGGGTATCATCATATAGGCTCGTGCATGATTTATTGATCCTTTTACAAAATTTTCGGCTCCTTTGGAATGTTAATTGTTGAAATTACTTAAAAAAAAGGTCCATGAACTTTTGCTTTATTCACATTCCAATGTATTAGTAAATATAGGGTACCTATCGGCTTTAAATAATTTCTGGATATCGATGTTCAGATAAATTTTAATTGAAGTTTCTGATTGTGCTGTCTAAGTGATGATCTCTCCTGGGATGGTTGTTTGGTAAGTCCTTGTTATTCTTGATTAAAATTTCTGTTTAATTTCTGTTTTATTTCTGAATTATACAAATAAGTGTACAGGACGTCAACATTAATGAAATGGTCACAAAAGGCTGCCTGCAGGGAGGCGTCCTATCACCTCTCCTGTGGAACATGGTTCTAGACAGCCTCATTGTCCGCCTAAACAATGACAACCACTACACAATAGCTTACGCAGATGACGTATTCATCTTGCATACAGGTGAATTCGAGAACTCGCTTTGTGAACGCATGCAACATGCTCTTCGAATTATAGAGAGATGGTGCACGGAATACACTCTGTCTATCAACCCCAAAAAGACTGAAATCGTCCTATGCACAAGAAAGAGGAAACTGGTACTTCCGACAGCACCCAGACTCGTAAACACCGAACTAACTTTTGCCGCCGAGGTCAAATATCTGGGAGTGATACTCGATTGGAAACTAACCTGGAACTCTCATATTGTTGAGAGAATACAGAAAGCATATATCGCCTATGAACAGTGTAGTAGTACCTGGGGTTCTCCAACAACCTATGGGGTTATTGTATGGGGACATATAAGGCCGAACCGACCACTATAAGCCGAAAACTAGACCACGTTCAAAGAATGACGTGCCTCAAGATAACTGGTACAATGAAAACCACACCAACTAGGGCTTTCGAAGTAATTCTATGTTTGACGCCCATACTTATGTCAAGGAGGTCGTTTTATCCACAATGATGCGCGTACGTAAAATCGCTAGGCTTGATGACAAGCTAAGGATGACCTCATCTCTTGTGGAGGCGCAGAATGGGTTTAATCTGGCCTAAGTGCTGTGGCATATCATATACCTATACCTACCACCCTCCCAAACTTACAGATACAGAACAAAAAAACTTCTTTGGGAATAAAACCTGCAATATTCTTTTTTGTTTTTCTTTATTTGGTGCAAAATATTTTCTTATATTCTTTTTCTACCTGAGACATTATTTTGTTTAAAAGAAGTAACATATGTTTTTCTTTTGGCTACAAATCTACCTAATATTTTCTAAAACTAGGTACTCTACCCTTTTGTATAAAGTCCTTATTAGTAATTTGCTACCTATTCAATAATTTACTACTAGTGAATTATTATTAACTAGAGCCGAAGAAAATAATTGCAAATGCTACCAAATCACAAAATTCTCAAACATTTAAAAAATATCCAATATTTTCTGCGTATTATGCTATGTTTGAACATAAACAAAATTCTATTCGAAAATGCGAAATCTAATTATTATTATTTTTAATAAGTGTTTCTATAAAATCTATATTTAACACTAAGATAAGATTTTCATAAGTATAAAATACTGAAAGAGTAGGTACCTACAAGTACCTATCCTAAAATTCTCTTTCAATCAAATATAAATTTTTCCGAAAGCTTTAAAATATTAAAAGGCATTTAACTTAATCTATGTTAAGCATAATAGGTAGGTAATGCAAAATAATTTTTACTCTATATAGAGGCTTTGGGAGTAGAGAAAATTAGCAAGTATTTAATTCATACATGTTGACTGCAATTTCATTATGCTTTGAAGTTTATTTTTGATAGATTTTTAATATAAAAATCATTGTTGGTATATTAAATACATTTTTTTATTCAATTTCTCAAAGTTTCAGCGAAATACTTTCTCAGAATTCTATGGATTCCATGTGAGTAATAGCATCATATATTGGGTGAATAATGTCCCTATAACTTTATCCTCCGAAACCCAACCATGTTTAAAATCTCCATTGAGGCTTAGAACTTTCATTTCCTCGAGGTGTAGTAACTTTTCTCCTTGTCGATCCGGATCTCGTAAATCTGCGAGAAAAGTTGCAAATTTCCTCTTCGTTTAGGGTGTCTAGGATTCTTCGAGTTACGTCGATGGGTGAATTCATATTTTTAGTCGCTGGTTTGATTAAGGTATATTCTATTTCTTCATAGGCCTGAGAAAAATACATTTTGTTTAGGAATTTCTGTGAGTAGATGATTTTAAGATACTTCCAAACTTAATTCTTCATTGAACGGGCTTTAAAACTAAATAAAAGCAACTTAAAAAAGATTGTAATCCAGTTTTTGAAGCTCATGAAAGGTAGGTACATTATAATATGTAGCTTAGTTTTTGAAATTAATTCCTCTGCTACTAAAGTACATACACATCATTTTAATTCCAAATCTAAAAAGGTGAAAAGCAAAACGACAACAAATAATTTAATAAAGTCTATATTTACTTTTATACTCTCAAAATACATAACAAATCAATATTAACGTTGTTATAAGGTGGTATAATTACAGTTCAAATTAAAAGTACAACTTAATTTTGATGCATGCACTACAAATATACGAAGTTACTAAATATAAATACCATGTAAAAAATTGTAATTAATCCGTATTTATGGATAAAAAAAGCTTGCATATTCCTTATTGATTTGTACTCTATACTGAGTAAAATATATTTATTTGAAATTATTTTTGTTTGTGTATATTGCTATAAAGCAAAAAATTAAAAGATTGAAAATAAATCAAAACAGCTCCATCAGTATCTTAAAGCTTACTCAGTCCTTGATAATCCTTTGCATTAGAAATCCATTGAAAGAAAAAGCTTTGATCTATTTTCAAAATATGTAAGTGCAAAGTACATATTGTTTGTCAATAATCAAATTTGGTGATAGGTACTACAAAATTTGTTACAATATTACACTACAATATAATTACTTAAAATATAATAATAATTGTGAAGAAAACTATTTTCTAAAAAAAAAAAAAAATGTGTATTATAGTTGTTAGAAATTAGATTAGGTACTATATACTAACATCAAATATGATAATATTCATTAGGTACTCTTTATTCTTGAATGTGATTATAATATTTTTCTTGTTTATGCAGTGCCATTTGACATACAATCCTGTTTCCATTTTAAAAAAAAAATTCTCACTATACTGATTAATTAATTATTGATATTTTTCAGCTTTGTACCTATAAAATTACAATACCATAATTTTAATTCCCAGTTAATTTTGTTACACATTAGCAACCTATCTACTTCAGAAATGGAATGGAATTATTTACCATGTATGACTGAATAACATTCAGAAAAAAAAAGGTACATAAATTAAATAAATTTGCGTTTTTAGTGCTCCTGATTAAGATTTTCGTCGGCTACTGGTGCTTTTGGCTCTTGTGATTGGACAGATTGCTACAGCAAAAGAAAAAAGTAAATAAATATTGAGGGTGAACTATGTTTTCTATAAAACTACTTCAAATTAAATTAACTGTTTAAATTCTACAATCTGAAAACTTGTAATATACTATAATTAGGACCAAAACATATTTTCCAAAACCGATTAAATCCCATCAACATTCTCATCTATAGCAGCATTTTCAAATGAAAACCTTCAACTGTTATAGGCCATTGCAAGTTTCCAAATTTCAACCCAGTATAGAAATGTAATTATTTTGAAATAGGTAGGTATTTATTTCAAATAAGTTAAGCAAGCCCCATTCAATTATTCAACTGAACGTAGACAAAAACAGTGATTATAGGCAAACAAGGTATATAGGTGAAATACAAATTCACACTAACCTGTATTAGTAAAAACACAAATTAAAAATTAAGCTGATTAAAATAAGTTTTAACAAAAGGTACAATAGGTAATGGGCCCAGGATAAATCGAATTTATTCTTGGAACTTATGAAAAGATATAAAATTTAACTCAAAAAAAGAAAATATGTACATGAAGAAAGAGTAAAAAACAAATATTGAAAAGCCTTGTTTAAATAAGTTCTATTTTGGCGTTTGGTTTCTACCAAGTTAAGTGCTTTTATTATTTACTTATTCTTGTAAAAGAAGAAGTCAGATTCTGGTTTTCAACTTTATGAGTCTTCTAAGTGCTGATTATTGTTGTTTCTTTGGGCCTTTATCTCTATTCAATGTGAAAATAACACAAACGTCAAATAGTTCGCGACAATTCATTGAAATATCTTCCTTTTTCTTCAAAATAGAAGAACATCGCATTTTTGCAACGTAGTATCCTATATCCGGCTTGCATGACATAAAATCTAATTTATATATCGATCTTTCGCTCCTTAGTTTATCTAGGCTAAAGCATAATGGCATGCGATGTTTTTTCGATACTTTTGAAGGTTTTGAAGGGACCACCAATTCGCCCCAACTTTGTTTTGCGTTGTTTCTTTTTTTTTTTCTACCGAATTTTTATATTGTCCTAATATAGAAGATTGAAAATAATGCTTCTAACATCAAATCCTTGTAAAATGTTAATGTTTGTTAAACAAATCTACTCTCAAGATAAAACAAGCAACTAACAAGATTAGTATAAAAATCGAAAATCAATGTTTAGATTTTATAGCCCACAACAAACCAAAAATGATAAAATGATACCTGAATTTGAATACTCATTGATGTGATTATGTTGATGAATTTAATAGAATCTATACAGATATGATGGCTCCTAAAAAACAACATAATAATGTGAGAATTGATTGCAAACAAAACATAATCACTGTTTTTGTTTTCTATCATAAATTAACTATTTGAAATTTAGGAGAATACGTTACTTACTTGTGACCCAGACAAAGACTGATCCATACTGGATTTTCCGGACTGTTTCAAATAATCTTTGTCGTCGAAAATTTTCTTGTCTCCACCGGTAGGCTTGTGCTTGACATTGTCCATGGACCCAACTTTGCTTGAAGCATGAAGTTCGATTTTTCTATTTTCAATCTGAAAATATCGATAACATAAAGATTGGAGTAAGATGTTTGTAAAAAGTCAAATAAACAGTGTAGAATCGAATATAAAATTTACACCAAAAAAGTCATTTATTCACAATAATAATTACTACATTCATACCAAAGAGCTGTAATGCCATAGATTTTTAATGATAACCTAAGACAAAATTTGGTTGAGTATGATATATTATATTCTTTTAAAGAATTACCTATATCTCTTGAAGGTTTTTCTGAATTTTAACACTCTAAGATCTTATTTAATTTAATTTGTTTTTTCTAAAAATTCAGTGACACCCATTATTGTTCATTCTGTACACACTATTGACCAATACCTTATTATCTACTGAGTGAACTAAGCATATTATGAGCCTCTTGTTAAGTAATTAACAAAACTGGTTACATAAATTGGCGGGAAGCACCCGTAGGTAATCAATCATGATTTCTGACTAAAAATTTTGAGGAAATTAACCTGGAAACCTACTAGATATAAGGGCACAATAGATCTAATCAGGTCGCAGTGAGGAGAGGTTCATAACCTAAACACCAACACCACCATCATCAAAATGTACCTACAATAGTAAAGGTGCAACACGGGTTCTGGCGCAATTTCATCCATTTTCCCATGTAAATCTTTATAAGAAAATCTTAGTTCCATTCTGCGACTTTTTGTACCATTTTGGAGTGGGGGTAAAATTTCGAGGAATAAGCCCCGCCCCTTTTCCAGTGCCCGTGTCTTTCATCGTTGGTGGTTGGTCGCCGCTGCTTCAGGGTCATTGACTGTACCTGGCCCCAAGCGGCTCATCGAACCCACATAGCAACTCGTGACTTGGTTCCCCATTCAAGGTACCTCGTACTGATGATGACGTCACTAATAATAAAATCCGCCTCGTGCTTTGTCTAGTTGCAGATGCAAGTTGCACAAGGCGGGAGCCAATTTTTAGGTTATGAGTTCACTGTGTACTGTAAAAATACTACTCATATATTTGCACATTTAGTTCTACAGGGAGCTCCATCATTATCACTACCATTTTTAGTAGAATCAATTAGAGCGTAGAATTAAAAATATTATTTGACCTTGAACTATACAGACCTGTCTAGCTGTATACAGACCCAGGGAGACTTTATCCGTTAGGACAATTAGGTCATGTCCTACGGGCCACAGAGGATGGGAGGCCAACTGCTGGCCTTTAATTTATAATATAAAATATAAAAGCCCACTATATTAAAAACATCGACTTGTTTAGTAGCAGGAGTAGCACATATTTCATTACTCTTTAATTCTTAAAATTCACACTGCACAAGTACATTTGGCTTGGCCAGAGTGCACTGCCTGACGTCACGATGCTCTGAAATTACTCCGTTCGCTCCATCGAGCATCAATCGGGAACACACCCTAAAGTCACTGAGCTGCGCTGTCTCGCCGTCGCGTCATTAGCGCAGCAAAGGCACATGGCAACAACTACAGCAGGAACCTGTTAGTGTTTGCGCTAAGCCATTTGTTTCGTCTGAGGGCCTGTTTATCAATAGAAAGTTACCCCATAAGTTAGAGATAACCCTGGGTCAAGGTTGTGACAAGTGTTTATCTATCTACCTCGAAAGTTTTTCCAAGAAAAAGTTAAACCGCGCTCTCACGGCAAATTAGCGTATTTGACCCTGGGTTATCTTCAACATTTTCTGTTATTTTTTGTCTGCATTTTTTCGAATGTTGTGGTTTTGGCTTAAATTTTGAAATTCTGAAGAGATGCAGGACCAAGATTTCAGTGTTGATGATCGAGATGTTCTAGAATTTCTAAAACATGAGCGACGCCCCTACCACGTAAGGTTGAAGTCAAATGCCTAATCCCTTTGACAATTTTGATGACGTCGGCGAGTTTTCGCTTACGAAAAGAAACAATCTTACTTGTTTTAGAACAAATCGAAAATCGAGCATAGACTCGAATTCCCAATAGACAGGTACCACGTAAGTACCTACCTATGCTTCTGGTTTTTTCTCTCAGACATTTTCTTCTCTTTGAAACAAAACAACATATTTCCACACAGAATAGGTAAGTACGCGATACCGAAATTTTCGTTACGGAGACAAGAAATGCCATAAAAAAGTAAGGTTATGAGCAGAAAATGTCGAAAAATCGGCAAAAGTGAGCTGGCAACGTTGCATAAGTAATGCCAACCTTCAAAGAACCCGAGAGTTTACAAGCCCTGGGTTGAAAAAGCTTAGATAAACACTTTTCGAATTGAGTAGGTACCTAGTTAAGTTAGCCCATCAGAGTTAGAGTTAGCTCAGGGCCAGCAAACTCTGCGAGTTATCCCTTGATTGATAAACCGGCCCTAAATGATTTTATTTAACCCCATAAAAAAGAACAATCACTCCATGAAAGGCCATACCAAATCATTGACCTACGGGCCAGAGAAAGGTTAAAGCGTCACTGTACAGACCTATCTCTAGACCTGTCTAGCTGTATACAGACCTGTCTCTAGACCTGTATAGCTGTCTACAGACCTGTCTGTAGACCTGTATAGCTGTATACCTACCTGTCTCTAGAACTGATAGCTGTCTCTAGACCTGTATAGCTGTATACAGACCTGTCTCTAGACCTCCACTTCAAAATGGTACAAAAAGTCGCAGAATGGACCTTAGAATTTCTTATGAAGCTTTACATGGGAAAATGGATGAAATTGCGCCAGAACCCGTGTTGCACCTTTACTTACAATCCATGGACGCCAAACTCACTTGCAAGGGTCACACTGGAAGAAAATGCAACAAAATAAGACAAAATGGTCATTGATGGCAAAAAATTCAATGGTCAAGAGTGAAAAAGTTATAAAATACCTAAATATTTCCATCAGTAAGTGATTCAGGACAAAAAATTTCTAATAAACATTTTTTTACATTTTCAAAGGTCAGATTTACTTCCCTTTTGCCCTTTAGCCAATCGCAGCTCACATCCAATAATAAAACCCAAAATGTTCGCGAGGTTTCTCCAGTAGGTACATTCGAAAGCTATTAACGTAAAAGGGCCATTTAGCGAATTAAATTCCGCAATACCATGACTGGTGGTAATCAAATTAGGAATACGAATAGACAACGAAGAAAATATCGATGGAGGAGAGAGCCTATAGGTACACATGTTTTCAAACTTTGAACTCTATTTCAAGAAATATATTGTTGAACATATCTAGAGAAGGTTCGATTTATGTTGAGGATGATTTCACAAATCTTTAACAAACCTATTGTTAAAATTAGGTACAAATTAATCTGATATCTGAAATCTTAAGTACAATATTAAAATATTTTTCTTTTTAGCTCTTACACACAGCACATTGAGTGATAGTGAAAGTGGATTAAAAGCGACGTGACACGCAACCCTAGAAAATTACTTTTGCAAATTATGTACAACGTGGTCTTTGCCAATAACTGTATTAAAAATTGGTAAAGATTATCATCACATATTTGAAATTATTATATTTTGTGAAGCTAAAAAATTTGCTTTAGTGTATTTACAGGACACATATTTGGTGATGTAGATGCATAGTTACTTACAGGGTTTTGAGAATCTGCATTACTTCCAGTATTCTTTAATTGTAATATTTTTAATTAATGTTAATAATAAATAACTTTGAGACACCATTATGTAGAAATGAAAACCCTTTTTTTGAGATCAAATTAGGTTCAAGCATTTTACCTTAACGTCTCCACCACCAGGTTGATGCTTGATGTTATCCTTAGATCCCACTTTCGGGGCAGCTTTGTCTTTAAAATTCAATTTGACAGATTCGATCTTCTTGTCTCCACCTTTAGGTTTGTATGCGGCATTTTCTAGTGATCCTATTTTCGATCTAGCGTTCCATTCAAGTTTTTGGGATATGATCTAAAAACAAAAGGAATATTTAGAGTGATTTTCAACATTTTATACTATAGGTGTTTTTGTAGGAGAGTATGATTTAAAAATAGGTGTGATGAAGGGAAGCAAATGAGAGAATTGAGAGAAAACATGTAATATTTAGTCATTTAACTGGGAGCAGAATCGTTTCTTGACATCTTGACATTGTTTCCCAGGAATTTTCTGAAAAATGGATGGAGGTAGATATTTATTGATGCAGAATGAATTTTCAAGTCAAAGTGTGATGTAAATGAAAATTTGAATTGATTCCATGTTATTTTTTTTATAGAAGAGGTTTTCGTGAGGGACTCTGGTCCATATGCGATAATTGCCCGTTTTCCAATAGTTGAAGTATTTAAAGAAAACTTGAATTTTTCTCAGATGGATGTCTATAATGACTTTCAGCCATGGTTATTCAAATGAAGAATTGTATTTACATCAAATTGACTGATGTTTGAGAATGGTATTATGTATTCTCATGTAGTTTCTCTAGTACAAGTTTAAGGGTAGATATGGGCAAGTTGAGAAATTTTCTGGGTATCAATTTTTTTGGTAAATATAATTCCTATAAATATTGAAGAAAACTTCCTTATAAATAAATATTTCAATAACAATTATTGTGCTTACAGATACAACAAATTAGGTGACGTCATAGTGTTTCATTAATTTTATAGGTTTGATGTGGTTTACTACTACTGATAATTTTGCACTTGCCAATAATAATTGATAACAAACCTCATACACAATAGGTGATTTACTTTTATGTGACTACACACTTTTGCAATTAACATTTTTTCACCTAACTCAACAGCTAAATGCAGAGATTAAGTTTATATTGTGCTTAACCCAATTTTTTGAAAATACATATCTTACTTTTTTTGCCGAAGTGGTTCGTATTACACTTCTTGCAGAATATAGTTCCTAAAATAAAAATGTTGTTTTTTGTATAAAGAGAATATTTTGGTGTAGAAAACTATGTATTTTTAATACGAAACTAGGTACTTGTTACTAAAAATAATAAGGAAAAACTGGTTTAGGATTAGTAGTTTAGTAGAGTGTTTTCACAGCTATTAGACCACATACCTACCTCTACCACGTAAAACCCCCCCTCCAGCACAGTCCAACCTCCACTGTAAACCCCCTTCTGTAAAGCTCCTGAGCACTTTTTTGACTCAAGGGCCCCCAGCCATCAATACCCACCTCTTCTACGTAAATAGTCCACCAGATTCACAAATTTTGGGGTTGGCCCGGGTCAAATTCCCAAAATTTCAGATTAAAGGCGCCGATTTTCCCACGGCATCGAAAAAGTTCCCACGGTATTGAAAAAGTTCTCATGGTTAGCCCGAGTCAAATTCCCAAAATTTCAAATCAAAGGCAACCGATCTAGAGATTTTCCCACGGTATCGAAAAAGTTCCCACGCTCAAGAGCCTTCAGCTATCAAACCAATACCTACCTCTACTACATTTAAAAGCTTTCACTCTGAAATAGTACCTTTTTCCATATCCCTTTACTTTCTTCTCCTAAAGTTTCAAACTCCATACCATGGGATGTAGAAGCTCTTGAAAGTATTCAAAATTAAAAGCAGACTGTTATTGTTAAAGGACCATATCAAAGTTATATTGCAAAAATAGTAGTAGAGTTATTGACAACCACCAACACTGAAAAAACTCAAAAATGAATTGTTGTTCCTCTATAGACAATGTTCTAGCTCATATAAATGGTGAAAAATTACTCTTAGATTTTACAAGCGAAGAACTATTGAGAATTCCGTTGGATTATTTATTGAAACATGTAAAGTCCTTTGAACTTTTGGATGCATGGGGCAAATTACCAATAAGTTACCATGTTTCATCCATTACAATAGAGATGAATGGAAAACTCATTTTGATGGTCCACCAGATTCATAAGCAAAATGTTATTATTGTAATAAAATGATTTTATCCAATTATGTATGAGTATTCTAAATAAAGCCAAGTCGTTTGAAAAATTATTGCATTTTTTTTTGCAAACTTCAAAACCAAACAACCTTCAAAACATCATGAGAATCTAAAGTGCACTGACCACAGAATAACTAAATGATATAATTAAAATACCTATCCCATAACCAATAGAGACAAAATTATGTCTGAAATTTTGGGAATTTGAGCCGGGCCAACCATGGGAACTTTTTCGATACCGTGGGAAAATCGGTTGCCTTTGATTTGAAATTTTGGGAATTTGACCCGGGCCAACCGTGGGAACTTTTTCGATACCTTGGGAAAATCGGCGCCTTTGATATGAAATTTTGGGAATTTGACCCGGGGCAACCCCAAAATTTGTGAATCTGGTGGACCATTTACGTAGAAGAGGTGGGTAATGATGGCTGGAGGCACTTGAGTCAAAAAAGTGCTTTACGGAAGGGGGTTTACAGTGGAGGTGGGTAGTGGTATGATGACTGTACTGGAGGGCGGTTTCACGTGGTAGAGGTGGGTATGTGGTCTGATAGCTGTGAAAACACTCTACTTAGTTTCTACACAAATAAAAAAATGCTATGGAATTTACCAACAAATAATTTTGAATACATTGATTTAAACATACTGGTGCTATTTAATTTTATAACACAAGTCTTACTCGTGTCGGAGCAGTTACAGTTCTGGAACCTCTTGCAGATTGAACTTCCTGTAATGTCATTTAATATATGCAAAAAGTAAAATTTAAAACTTTTCAACAAAACAAAATCATATCTACCTTTTTCTCGCCACCTTTCGGTACGTATTTGTCATTCTTGGCCTCGATCCTAGATCCTGCATTTTTAAAATCCAATTTCTTATGTTCTATTTTCACTTTTCCACCACCTGGCTTGTAAGTGGCATTGTCCAGGGATCCGATCTTGGACTTTACCACTTTCAGGTTGGGAGAAGGAGCTGAACCGACTTGAATTTTATTCATAGGAACTTCTGCAAAAAGGTGAAGAATATATACATTATAACATAATTGGTTTTAATTAATTTGTCTAAGTAAGTTTATTAGCTTGTAACACGAACGTCTAGTAAAAAGCTTCAAGGTTTGCTGACAAAGAAAATTTTGAGAATTATAACAGCTGAAGGGCAAACTACTCACTTTTTTTGTCGGCCGATCCTGGTGTAGTAGCAGCAGAATCAGGTGACTGCAGACTCGATGGTGTCTTAGATCCTCTAGACATAGACCTTGCTTTTGTAGGTGTTGAAGACGATGTCCTTGATTTAGGTGGCTTCCTTAATGTTCGAGAGTCTCCATTACAGGACTGGTCCTATAACGAAAAAACAATGTAGATTTTACTTAACAAATATCTCTGGCACTTACATTTCCTTGTGTCGATTCATCTACACCACTGTCATTGTCTCCTTCTGCAAAGAAAAATATAGAATCTGTGAGTTATATATGTAATTAAAAAACTCTATAAATGTTAGGCAGAAAATAATAATTCATGATGATTCAATAAATATCACAAAATGCCGATTGAACACTCAGAAAATGTAGAAACAAAACAAGCTAATTCATGGAGGACAAAAATGTTGCTTCAAACATCTAAAATAAGCCATAAATTGCATGAAATCTAAGATACACTTCCACGTACTATTGAAATTTGCCAATTTGAGTTCCATGTTATCTTTTTTCTTTGCTTCCTCTTGCAGATCCTGTTTGGGCGGCGCAGAATTATGTATGATATAATTCGAAGAATCTATTTCCGAAGATTTCGTAGTAAGTTCTCCATTTATTATATCTCCTGATGGATAAAATTTAAATATTTTAGTACCCTATTATTAATTTGTAGTTTTAAAAAAGCAATGCAACTAACAATTAGCTATAAATACTAACATTAAACCGTGGAACTAATATCTATTATTAACCTCTGTTTTCTGAAGGATTCCTTTCAATTTTAACATCGTTTTCCACGATTTTGTCCATCCTGGAGCCCGACCTGGATTCAGGCCTTGAAGTTACGACCTCTTCTTTTTTGAAAACGTTTTCCATTGAACTTTGCCTGTAAAAAAATAGTGAACAGAAATAAAATTGTCAGTAAACCTAGCAAAGATCGATTATCTTGCCTCGATATATTGATAGATTCCTGGCTACCAGTGAGCTTTTTTTCTAACGATTGATTCGGCGAAGTGCTAAAACTTCTTGCCAAAGAAGCTGCTGACGGTGGCCTCTGATCCACCGAAAGACGCCGACCATCGTCTGCAATGTTTGGATTTTCCAACTCTGATGAATCCAGAGTTTGAGATCTGGAATTTCAACTCACAGTTACACACACTAAAAGATTCTTCTCAAAATCTGTACCTGTTCAGACTGCTGAGAGAATCTTCCAAATTAGTTCTTGGCCTATAGGCTGGCACTGAACTTTGCTGATAAACTTGAGGCCGCTGACCTAACAACGGAGGTCTTTGAAATGGACTTTGAGGCCTAAACACTGGACGTTGTTGCTGTTGGGGCTATTTTAAATAACAGATTGCACTATGCGTATGGTAGAATAATGATAAAATACTAACTGAGTTGTTGCCTTGCGGCAATCTCGTCCCACCGGGACCTAGCGGCGGTCCTCTTTGTACAAACGGTTGATTTGCTACTGGTGGTCTATTGACACCGGGTCGTATTTGAGGTCCACTCAAATATTGAGGACCAATTGATTGAGGTCCACTGTTAACAGGGCTGGATGGGTGGTAGCCGCTCAGAGGTTGCGGGCTGAGCGACTGAGGTCCACTGTTCAGAGGACTAGATGGCTGGTAGCCACTCAAAACTTGAGGACTGAGCGACTGAGGTCCACTGTTTACAAAAGTTTGTGGCGAAAATGGTGGACGGTATTGAAAGTTTTGACGACTATCTGAGCGACTTAAAGGTGGACGTACTAGAAATGGTCCGTTTGGGTTTGGAGGTGATGGCGTGACGATGGGTGGTTCTGGAGTAAGTTTTCCAGGTTGCTAGATTTTGTGAAACGATGTCATTAATTTCAAATAATATGCGAATCAATTTCCTATGTATGTCAGTCAATTTGCCAAATCTTAATTGAATTGGTTGATATTTTGTTTTAGTCGTATATATTTTATAAGTATCTGCACGAACTATATGTGTTTTAACTCGGCCAACAATCGATTGAACTACATTAGCTTCCATTAGTAAACCAAAAGGGAAAATACCAATGTAAATAAATGAAAAATTGATTGGGTTTTGGTTTGACGTTGACCTATAAAACTATGAAGAACATTCGCAATTCGGAAACCCAATATTTCTATCAAGATGACTGACTTAATTCAACTAGAAGTTGTTTAATTGGTTTTCGTTTCATGATTTTAAGTTTGAGTTAGCGAAAACAACAAAGACTTCCAGTATATTTCTCAAGTTATGTCTTTAGTTTATTCGAGATTTAGGCAACAATTTAGCAATTGAGTTTGACTTTACATGGACGTTTCGTATTTCGTATCCCAATCAGACACGAAAAAGCATATTTATTTACAGTCTGGTCCTATAACAGCAAATGTGACCCTACGATGCATATTGAACCGAATAATTTTTTTATAGATCTGGATATCAAAACTGGCAGAGACTGGCACAAAACCGGATACACCCCTAGCATGCTAGATTGTTTTTAAGAGGGGTTAATCCACTGTAAATCGGTGACGATGAACGTGACAAAAATCTAAGGGGACATTTTATCAAATTCGGATATGCTTTGTAGCTTAAATGAACACTAGACCAAAAGATAATGGAAGTCCAAACAGTTTTTTATTCATCAAAACATTACATTCAATTAAACTTAAGAGTTGTTGCAAACATATTTTTGTCTAATCCCCTGTAATTATCTTGTTTAAGTTGGCGTGACTACCCTCATGACTGAACTTATATTAAGCCTAAAAAAAAGACAAGGGCAGACACTATAAGTTTCATCATAGACTTGCAAATAAAAGTACGATGAACTTCAGTAATTTCGTTTTTATTTTCATAATACTGGAAGCTAAAAATGGGATACTGGCTTGTAACATGAGCTTCGATTTCAACCGAGAGACGTAAATGTTCATGAAATATTATTAAAATAACTGGGGATAGTGTTGTAAATACAAACAAACTTGCTATTATTAGAACAATACTGTATCAGTTTTATGAGTAATGTATGGAATAATAATTATATGGGTTTTATGAATTGTGCATATATTTGCTAGAATGAAAATTCTGCAGGTGAAAAATAAATATGCCAACTGCGAAGTTATACAGTGTTTTTATTATTTCAGCACTGGTGATTTTGGATGAAACTTTTGATGTCCCATGATAAACGATAAGTGAATAGAATGAGATAGGAAGGGCAGCTTTACACAATGAAAAGAAAACACTTGCAGTTAAATTGGATATTCAGCTGGAACTGCAATTGTAGACTTTCATTACCTGCGTTTTTAATTCTGGTGCAACTTTTCGATGGATCGTTTTCAAACGAATGGCAAAAAAGAGGGCTCATTTCACAACAGAAAAAATAAATCATGCTGGACTGCGATTTTCCTGGAATTAGGCTATAAAGGTTATCATGGAAAACTAACTATAGTTAGTGAGTAAAGCTCATTGAGTCAAATGACGGAGAAGGTATATATGGATTCGGAAGTTCTAGCAGCGGATATCCAAGAATAATTAGCAAATGACATTGCAGAAGAATTGAAAATTCAAGGAATGCCTTCCCCTAATCGCTCATAATGGCGACTACACAATTCAGTAGTAGAGAAGTTCTATCGTTGTAAATCTACAAGGCTGAAAACATGCAGACTCCTAGCTAGTTCTTCTTCCAATTTCAGAAAATATCTCTGGAAGTTCAAGCTCAAGGAGCATTTTTCTTCCAGCTGAAAACAGTCTATATTTGTATGAAGTAACGTTTGTCACAAAACATCGAAAGTTCGATTCAAATCATAACAAAATACTTGAAATCATAGAAAACTTTAATGGGTCGTCCATTTATTTTGCACCTGAGTGCGGGAACAATAACATATACATTATTTATAGAAACAACTTATTAGTATTTCTATTGTGATTACTGATTATCTTACCGATTCTTGGTTGTTTATTTCAGTTTTAAGATGATTACCATCCATGGTTGGGCCATTAGACAGAGTTTGTTGCGCCATTTTTGTCTAATTTACTAAAAGAATATGTTCCTATTGTTTATTAATTTAATTTAGCTCTTGTGCTGTCTATAGTGGTTCAAAATACTACAAGCGGTTGTAAGGAAAACATAAATCAACCTATTATGAAACAACTTCTATAATGTGATACCCTAACTATTATCTTGTTTTGTATTTTCTATGAGGCCCTGAAATTCTATAAAATCTGATAAAATTACAATAATTAAAGAAATGGCTCAAAACAGGACGTTATAGGCATTCAAGATTATTAAATCCTAGTTTAATGTTCTTTTTATTTTCCAAAACCCACATCAAAAATTTGCGGTTCCTTTGTCTTCATTAAGACATACAGGATTTTAATGTCACTTTTATTCATCTGAATATTCAGTTTTATGAAGATAAATTACCTCATAAAAGAATGACTGTATGAGAGAAAAAAAAAAGTAGTACATATTAGCTTTAATAATTATTGGTGATTTTATGTTAATCAGCCTAATTATTATTAAAATTCATTTTGAACATTTTTTGGCACCGGTGTAAAGAATTCAAGAAAATTTACCGACCACGTGCAAGCATTTTCTTTCTGCAATATTGCACGCAGCCTATTGTGACACTAAAATATTAGCACTTGCAGTTGCATGACAAACAAAATTATTTCATTTTGCAATGCAACTTTACTACTGTTCTAACGGCCCCTAATTGGAATAAAGTGAATTCTGGATTGTCTGCCTGTGTTTATGATTATAATAACTATTAGGCGCAATGTTTTAGGTTTTGTGTTTGGATTTCATATGGAATTTTTTGTTCTATAAAATTATGGGATTTTGTTTAAATTTAATATCAAAATATGGATTTTCTAATGGTGTCAAAAGAGTTAGGCTCAATCATATCTGCTTATATGTTTTCATTAGGAAACAGGAAATATTTCGAATGCATGTATGCAAAAATGGCCTTGATCCAATTTTAACACCTCAATAAAATTTTAGAAGAGAATTGGGTCAAAAACTTACGAAGGCCCAAAAGTTTTTTATTTTCCCCGTTTCTTTATTGCGATGTTAAATCAATAAACTGCGTAATAATCCTAATTTATTCAACAGAAACTAAAATTAGAACAATAAGGGCGGTTGATGTTGGGACAAATTAATTGGACTTCATAAAGTCACCACTTTAAATTGTTCCAGGAAAAAAACTAGGAGCTATTGATCTTTTAGAATACAATCAACATGAATCAGGAGAATGACAAAACTTGAGAAAAATCTATTCAAATAACATAAGGGATATAAAAAACTAAGGTCAAAACATACAAATTAGAAATACAATGGACAATGCAAAAACAAAAAGAAGGTTTACTCAAAAAACAACAAATGATAAGAAAACATGGAGAAGTAAAAAAAATATAGAAGAGTATAAGAAAATACTGTATGTGTCCAATTAACCATACAACAAATCCAAGGAACAAAAAGCAAACCTAAGTATTAAATTACTATTAGGTAAAACTATACCTAATAGTATTAATGCCATCTGTTAATTAACTACTTGGTGTTCAAAGTGTGGTTGCCAACATACGACTACAGTTATTATCAAAAAGCTATTGCTTTACAAAGAAAAAACTATCAACTAATCAGTTTCCCAAAGTTCATTTTTCGAATTGATAGAACCGGAAAGTAACAAAGCGAAAGTGTTACCTGTTACCTCCTGGTTATCACTAAACACTTCAGTCACAAAGGTAAGCGGAAAATCGACTGAAAAACTACACAAAGCTTCTGCCGGAAAAGCTCTGTACTTTTCTCTGTAGTGCCCTCTACGATTGAATCGATATTTTTGTTCTCATATACCTAGCGGTTATACATAGGGTGTTCAGTTTGTTAAAATAATATAATTTAAAATAGTAGGTATTTACAATAAAATATTTCCGTAATAATCAAAAAAATCGACAACTTAGACATTATTATCTTAGCTATGCCAAGATCAGCTACTCTTGAGTTGCAATAGCTGAAGTTGTAGGTAGTGTTAATATACAGGGTGTTTCATGAACATCGAAACAGAGGCGTTTTGGGGTATTTTAAGGTCGATTTAAAAAAAAAGAGTCGGACACGTCACTTTTGTATTCAAGGGGGAAACTTTTTGACCCCATCGGTAATTCGCTAGGGTGCACCCCCTGGGAGTTTCACCCCTCTTTTTTAGATAGGAGAGATGGGTCGAGTGGTACCTTGTTTTAAAGGATTTTGATTCTCGTGACAATTGGGCTAAATAAGAAACAATTTTCTGGCCCTGTTATTCTCGAATCAACACTTTCCTGACTTTCCTTTCGGACAAGTCAATTTTCATTTTCTCTGAAGAACACAAAAAAATGAAAATTGACGTGTCAGACAGGAAAGTCAGAAAAGTATTAATTTAAGAATAACAGGGCCAGAAGATTTTTCTCATTTAGCCCATGGCAACTTTGACAGTGAATATCCTGAAAACTAATCATTCGATAGAAAAAAAAAATATATACAGTTGTGCCGTGAATCAAAATACTTTTAAAAGAAGGTACCACTCGACCCATCTCCCCTATTTGAAAAAGAGTGGTGAAAGTCACCCCACCCAGGGGGTTCACCCTAGCAAAATATCTATCGATGGGGTCAAAAAGTTTTACCCTTGAATACAAAAATTATGTATCCGAGCGTTTTTTTTATCGACCTTGAAATACACCCTAAACGCCTCTGTTTCGATGTTCGTGAAACACCCTGTATATTACTAAGTATTTTCATGAAACCATGTGTAAAATTGCATGGAAATAAAAAATAACCAATCCTAGGAGAAATACCTCACCAATACTCTTCAAAAAGCTACATTTACGCTATAGTCCAATCAAATGGTAATTTTTTGGTAACATGAAAGCGATAGAAGGTTTTTTCAATGAAATTATATATTTTTTAGGATGCTGAATACGAATCTGAAGTTTGCTGTCTCGTAGCAGAACCGGCTCAGGCCAAAAATCGCGAAAAACCTCGAAATTTTCGCACTTTCTCCGGTTTTTTGGTCATATCTTGCAAACGACGCATCGTGCGGAAAATATCATAGTATTCAAAGTTGAAGAGCATCCAACGACTTCCCTAACCTTGTTAGTGTTAACTTTATAGGCTCGCTATCGTCACTCGAAAAAAAGGCCAATTTTAATGAACTTTTTGAAAACTACAATAGACTTACTTTTTGACGACAGTGATTTCAAAACAACCACTATACGTAGAAAAATCACTGAATAAAAGTTGTAGTTAACCAAATATTATGATCAGTGAGCAACAAAATTTTAAATTTTGATCAATATATACGCATAAACTGATAATTTCATTTTCCCTCTAAACGCTTGTTTGACAAAATAAAGTCTATAATAGTCAACAATAAAAAGTCTGTGCCAGTCATTACTTCACAACCTACACTTGTCGAGTAGGGTCAGGTACAGGGTGTTTTTTTATATATTGACACCCCACCTACAGTCTTTACCTTTATAGGTAAATGGAAGGTGTAAATACAAAAGTTGTACCTACAGGATTAGCTAAATTTTTAGAATCCATGGTCAGAAACAAAAATTGAATGTCAGAAATGTTGCATGCTTTCAGCTTTTTTCAAATGGGATGCGCTATATTTGGTTCTATATTCTTGAAGAGCACAATTTCCCGATTTCAAAACTATATAGTTTGTCTGTATTTGGTTGAGCCGTCTCCAACATATTTGGTTCTAAAAATTTTGAAAATACTATTAGAGAAACCAAGTACCTCAAATTTTACCTGCAGCTTTCACCTGTACAGGTAGAATGGTTCACAAAATCAGTAGTAGGATAATATTTTTACAATTTTTGGAGCCGAATATATGAGAGATTGCTCAATCAAATATAGATCGGGGCATTGTGCTCTTCAAGAATAGGTATAGAATGAAATATAGGGCATCCCATATGAAAAAAGCTGGAAGCATGCAAAATTTCACATTTCTGACATTCAAATTTTGTTTCTGACCATGGTTTCTAAAAATTCAGCCAAAACTGTACAACTTTTGTATTTACACCTTTCTTCTACCTGTAAAGGTAAAGGCTGTAGGTGGGGTGTCAATTTATAAAAAAACACCCGTACAAATAAGTGGACTATTGCGGAACTGATAGGTAGACCTCTGCGGGACGAGCGCAGCGAGTTCCGCAGCCATCTATTCGTCAATATGTTGTTTAATTACGATACTAACCTGACTCACTCAAATGTGAGTTATTCTCATTAGTTTAAAAAGTACACGTTTCAGGTGAGTGTCTTATTTGAACAGTTCAACAGTATATTGGTGAGTAGGATAGGTCCACCTATAAGTTCCGCAACAATCCACTTATTTGTACTTGAACTATAACTTATTATATAAGGTCAGAGTTTGTAAGATTATTCACTTTTTGTCAATTTGCCTTTTAACAGAAATTGGTGATGTTACTTTACCAAATTAGTAATATATTGTGACAAGTTATTCAAGTACAAACGAGTGGATTGTTGCGGAACTTATGAATGGACCCAGCCATCTATTCACCAATATGTTATTCAATTATAATACTAACCTGATTCACTCAGTTGTGAATTTTTCTCATTAGTTCAAAAACTACACGTTTCAGGTGAGTGTCTTATTTGAACAGTTCAACAGTATATTGGTGAGTAGATGGCTGCGGAACTCGCTGCGCTCGTCCCGCAGAGGTCCACCCATAAGTTCCGCAACAATCCACTTTTTTGTACTTGAACTATAACTTATTATATAAAGTCAGAGTTTGTAAGATTATTAACTTTTTGACAATTTGCCTTTTAACAGAAATAAGTAATGTTACTTTACCAAATTAGTAATATATTGTGACAAGTTATTCACGTACAAACGAGTGGATTGTTGCGGAACTTATGAGTGGACTCAGCCATCTATTCACCAATATGTTATTCAAGTTTAATACTAACCTGATTCACTCAGTTGTGAATTTTTCTCATTAGTTCAAAAACTACACGTTTCAG